ACACCATATGATTTCCAAGCACATACCACTTGGGTGTCTGAGAATTTTTCCCCCAAATCATCACCGGAGACTATGCACCTGCCAGGCAGAGACCAGATATGAGAATTCTCAGCCCAATTGCAAACATTTAGTAAATGGTATAAAATGACTGGAGAGAGAGGTTTAGAAAGCAATTCCTAGTCTCATCCATCCCTGTAAGGCAGTAGATATACCATAAGGCACCAGCATAACTATTATTGAGAGAAATGTCTCAGTTTTATCTACAGCTACTGTCCATTTAAATTAAAAAATCATGTCTCAGAAGAGGGAGAAGACTAGTATAATGGGACATCTTGTACTGAACATGCCAACAGATTTGTTTGTTTGCAGTGGGATCACTCCTAAACACTGGAAGCTACAGTCAAGTTTTTTTGAAGCAGATGGAGAACTTTTTAAAGAAAACAGCTGAGTGTGCAAGATAGGCTCTGAAGTGAAATTATCTTAAATATAAGGAACATTTTGCCGCTGATTAATAGAGAGTACACTTTTTTCATAATTTTTTATTCAAATGATTGATTATGCTTCAGGTTCAGATTCTTTTTTACTGGAAAGAGACAGTAGAGGAACACAATCAAATTTCAGGGTTTACAAAAAAAACCCCACATATTCTGGATAGCTAGGTAAATATTCTCCCTGAGAAAACAAGTGCGTGCATACACAGATGACAGGCAACAGCTTGTATTTTTTTTTTTGGGGGGGGGGGGGGGGTTTGTCCCATTCAATCACAGATTATTTACATATCCCTGCATAAAAAAGAGTACATTTGATTGAAGCCTCTACCATAAACCTTACTCGATATTTTCAGCTATTTTGGAATGGGTACAGTACCAGTGCATTTAAAAGCTCCACTTCAAGTTAAAAGTAGGCTTATTATATCTGACATATTATGGTGCCCAGTCTCCACACAAATATAATTTTAAAGAAATATCATATGTTTTACCTAACCAAAGGCTGTTTGTTGCTAGAAATAATGCATTATGGTGCCTGTGAAAACTTACTAACACACCTTTAAGTACAGATGCTGCAGGTTTTTTGAAGCATCAGTAATCTTTTGTCAGTATCTATAGTGTTGATTAGGATCTTTTACTGGAAAGCTATTCAGTTTTCTGTAAAACAAGCAAACAAATATGCAGTAGGAACTGGTAGGAGAGAAAGTATAGATCTGATACTCAAATACCATGCTGAATGTGGCTGCATACATGCATAAATAGATAAAATACTAATGATGTGGTGATACTGTTTCTGGGAGTGAATGCCTGCCCAGAAGGCATTCTATTGACCAATTTCCAGTATAAGAGGGAAAATGAAATGAAAGCATTATCAGTCTAGAAGGGACAATTACTTTTATTTATGAGTACCTTCAAATACCTGCAGGGCAATTACAGACAAGATGAAGATGGGCTTTTCTCTGTGGCTGTAGGGGGCAATACTAGGAACAATGACCTTAAGCTGCAGCAGGGGATATTTATATTGGAAGAACTTTATGACTAGGAGGGTGGTCAGACCCTAGATTTAAGCCATAGGATTTAAGGCATAGTGGCTGCCTAGAGAAATTGTGGAATCTCCATCCTTGAAAGTTTTGAGGAGCAGATTAGACAGATACTTGGCTGGGATGGTTTAGTCAGGGGTGCTCCTGCCTTGAGCAGGGGGAGGACTAAGTGACCCCTGTCATAGAGGTACCCGAAAACAAAGTTAGTTTGGAGGTCCACTATGTGGCATGCATGAATGTTCTCTCATATTAGGTCCATCCACTATTGGTATGTTCGTGGTATTAGGGGCTGGTAGGAGCCACGCATAGCCCATCAGGCTAGGGTGCCTGAGGAGCACCCATTATACCGGGAGACCCCCAGGGGGTCTGAGAACATACGGGGACAGAGGTCCCGGCTATCCGTGCCCAGGGAGTCGTAAGGCAGCCTCCCAACCTTATTCAACAGCAAAGACGTGGCGGGCGAGAATCGAGGGTGCCCTTGGGCCGAATTGGCACGGAGAGAGGGCCTTAAGGAGATCACGGCCCTCCTAAAGGACCCCGCCGTGACATCCATGTTACAGTTCCAAGGGGACTGCAGCTCTGTCATAGTACTGCCAAATCCTTTAGGGCAAAAATATTCATCAAACTAAAAACAGATTTAAGATGGAGCTACTGCACCAAACATTAGCATTTCACTCATGCATATATTCTACTTGTGCCTTGCCAGGCGCTCTCTCAACCAGATTCAGTTACGGTGCAAGAAAGTATGAGAAGTTAAAAAAAGAAATATTTTTAAATATGAAACTGATTAATTGTCAAGATCACTTGGCAGGGAAATCAATTTTTATTTAAAATTTACGATGGCACCCATTCCACTGTGCATTATGGAAAGCATGAGTATATATGATTCAAATAATGAGAGAATCTCCTTTCCTTAAGTTAAACTTCTTAGTTTCAGCCACAGCCAAAGTGTAAGCCAGCAGAAACACAATGCTGCAATTGATCTGCCCCAGTAATTTTAACCAACACTAACCCAAAAGGTTTCTTCCCTTTCATCACTCACAGGTGCTCTCAAAGTCATGGTGACCTTCAACAACAATAAGGGGAAGGCCATCTAAGTTACAGCAGCCCAGTGCTATGGAGAACAACTTGCTTTCTCACTGCACTCAGCCACCAGGAAAATGGCTCAGTAGCTTATCAAAACAATTCCTTACATACTTGCAAATGAATAGGACAGTTGGTCTCAAAACATATTAATTAAACTTGCAAATCATTGCTCAATATTTAGTACCATAATTTTCAATGATTTGATTTATTAAAAGTGAAGTCCTGTTTAGCCAAAGAACAGGTATAATACAAGCAAAGTGAAAACATCCCTTCCTCTACCTTAAGACATCTCAGGCCTGTTCTGAAAGTATTGCTTGCAGGAAGTACAGAAAGGTAGCTCAGGGCATGTCTTCACTATAGTCTGCTGTGTACAGTAGAGGTATTCAAGGTACCATAAGTGCCAGAAGCAGGAACAGATTTGCACATGGAATAATTTACCAAGAAACAAGCTCTGTCTTACTGCAGCTAGACTGCTTCTGGTACCTGATGTAGTGTGGGTATCTCTATACTATACTGCAGTGTGCAGTATAGAAACCCTCAGTCATCCATGGCAACTGAAGGGGACACTGCACATCTGAAGTATAGTAATTTCAGTAATGTATATGATCCCACATTTATCCCTACAAATATATTTTATCATCTTTTAACTGGTTTTTCCCTTGTTAATTGGCAAAAAAATCCACTCAGAACAGGGGAAAATGGAAGACCAGCTATATACAGGAAAAAGTATTTATAAAATAAGCACTGAAAAAACTAGTTTCTTTTAATTTCTTTCAGGATTAGGACATACCAGCATTACCATTTTTCACTGCTGTAGGTAAGTGCTTTTCAGATGAATGACATTTTTTAAGATAGCCTCTAAAGACTATGCTAAAAGGCTAGAGGTGTCTAACATAGACAGTACAGACAGCAGTTACATTTGTCATGAGACTGGCACTCTACCGCCATGCCGTGCCACATATGCACGACTGCAGAACACTTTAAAAAGTGGCTGATCACACAACAAATTAACCCTCGTCTAATGAAGGATCAGATGACGCCCACTCCAAAGTGGAGTGCCTTAGGGCAGGGATTCTCAACCTTTCGCACCTTACATCCCACCACCATTTCGTCAAAAAACCCTGGTCCCACCATGATAAAAACAAAACCCCACAAAATTGCACTGTTCTAGATATCTGTTGATTCATCTATATGAAGTGTAAACAACTGATTTTTTCAATCGGGCAATGAGTTGATGTCCCACCTACACAACCTTCGAGTCGAACTTGTGTTCCCTAGGGCCAATCTGTCAGTGCGATGCAGCCCAGCCCCACCCCTGGTGCTGTCTGCAGGAAGGGAGGGGGAGCTGCAGGCTGAGGTTTGCCAGACCTGAGTTGGAAGTGGGGGGGCACATGTATTGGAGTCCCCCACCTCATGGCCTCTCACCCGCTCCCCTCCTTCAGTTCAGGCCATACAAACCCCAGCCAGCAGCTCTCCCTCTCCCTCCCCCATTTCCCCTCCCTTCCTGCAGACAGCACCCAAGCCTGGAGCAACTAGTGGGGCTGCATCAGCCCAGCTCTCATGGTGGGTCAGGCAGGCAGACTCGACTCCCGCCTCCCCTGAACCATCCCCCCATCCAACAGGTGAATGTCTAGGGAGGTGGAGGATCGCTCTAACTCATAGTACTTTATGCAAAGTCCCATTGGTTAGGGCAGGGACCTGCATGTCTGTCAGCACTGAGTTGTCTTTTAACATCTGTCTTCTTTGATGACACTACCAACAAAGAAAGCTATTGCTACCACAAATGGCCCTAACGTATCATATGGTGATATTCTCAGTGGCATGGGAACCAGAGCCAAAGACTGCAGGACACTGAAAATTTAGGGACATCCTCATTGTGCAAAGATGTACCTCTGATATTAACATGAACTAAAAATCCTCATGCAGAAGGTGCTCTAAGTAAAACTCATTTGCAAGAGTGTAGATGTGGCAAGAGATGAAACTTTATATTGCTTTCCAACTGCTATTACTTAAGTTTTCTCTCATAAGGCTCTCTGCGTGACATCTTCTGAGTGAATCTTGAGATACACTAACCCTCGGGGGGGTAGTGGGTAAGATCCAGGCACGCACTTTGAAGAAGGCATCTGAATTCATGCCAAAGAGAATAAATGAATACACACACCATTGTTTTTTGGCTAGCTGCCTCTTCCTGTCCATGTGTTAGAGTCAAACGGTGCTCTACTGGGCATGCAATCAAAAGCAAAGTGCACATATTTAAATCTGGAGTTGGACATCAGGTAATGAGACCCACTTTCTGACATAAATCATTTTGAATTCCAGGGTTACCCCTGACTCAAAGTTCATTTACTGAAACATGCATCAAGTAAAAAGACATAAAGATACTTGCCATGGATTTTCTCGGCTTCTGGGTCATCCATACCAATGGCAATAATCTTCCAGTCTGTCTCTCCTTCATCAATAAGAGCCAGAACTCCCAGAACTTTCACCTGGACAATCTCACCAGAAGATCGAACCTGAATTATAGCACCACAGTCTCAGAAAGATACAGAAAGGATACATATTCACAACCTCTTTGTATTATCATAGAGACAAAGTGGTCTGTTGCTCTGCCAGGAACATAACAGAGTTGGCAAGGGAAATTTTTTTTTTTTTTACTGCTATCCCTGGTTGATTCCTATGCCTATCTGCCCTTCTCTCCCCTCCATTCTTTTCTAACTGCTGATCAAGGATCTCAGCAATTTAATCAAAAAGAAAACTGACACATTCCAGCAAGAATTTTCTTCCCTTATCCTATTTTACATCACAGCTCCTCCCCGCCCCCCGCCCCTTCCTGTAAATCTTCACCCCACTCCATGACTCAAAGACATCACGTGTTTGTTTTCTAATCCCTCTTACCTGCTCCTTCCTCTCTCTCTCAGCTTCTTTCTGTGAACCTACATCTATAGAAGCCACATGGAACCTAGCCACAGCTACATGGAACCTACTGACTCCCCGAATACAACCCTAACTTGATCTTCTCCTTTCCCTGCAAGCCCCAGGAGTGCCAGTGTTTATTCTAGCTGTAGTCACTTCCTTCACTTCCTCTCCTCCAACTCTCTTCTGGATCATCAAGAATTCAAATTTATACCCTTCCCCTTCACTGAAACAGCCTTTAACCTTAGCAATCTCCCTCTCAGATGGATGCTCCAAGGGGCTTCTCCAGGTTCTCAAGGGATATCACCTTTGGATGACTTCTCTCCTTCTTAAAATGAAAAGAGCCTCCTAGACCACACAGTCCAATCCCCTCAGTTTGTAGGCAACTGTGTACCCAAGATTCCCTGGTATCACCACTTCAGACCCTCATGCACAAAACCAGAAACATCAACAACATCATACAACACATAAGTAAAAAGCAGAAACAAGAGAGCCTTGCCAATGCCCTAGCACAGCACTGACAGAGAAGTAACATGTTAATATATGCTCCCTGCAGACCATAAACTCCCCTCCTTACTACTTCACATGACCTTTCATATCACTTCTTACACCCATCTCAGTCAGCAGTATGCCATAAACTCTACCAGACTGCCATCTCTACCCTTTCTTATCTCTGGGTAATATTAACCACTTTCACAGCATCAACTATTATCTCTCAGTAGTTAACTCCCATGGCAGTCCAGCATAATTCCACTGTTTTTCAGACAACTTTTCCCAATCGTACATACTGCTGCCAGTTCTCGCTCTACAAGTTAAAAAAATGAATTCATTATATTTATCTTGCCAAAGCCCTGCACTCTCTCTTTGCTGCTTTCTCCTTCGTCTAGCACCATCACAAACTAGGTTTCTCTTGCCAGTTACTTAGCCTTAAAATTTGTTTTTGTCAACTCTTCTTTTCTCCCTTGCCCATTATCCAGGCTCTTCTACATAATATGGGTTCTTGCTTTCTCTCTAAAACACCCATTTCTGCTTCATAGGAGAATCTTTCCTATGTTTTATCATCCCCCAGCCCTGACTACTGCAATCTCTTCTTCTCACTGACTGCTCCCCTCCCTCCCCTCTATTAAAAAAAGCTGCTGCCAAAATATTAAAAATAACTTTGGCAATTAAGACAAACCTTTGAGCCTATTTCACAAACATCAATGGGATCATTATCCCCACAGCATCCTGTGCTATTATCTGTATGGTTTGGATCTTCCCAGGTCTGTTAAAAGAATGAGAAACACACATTTAATTATTAAACTTCAGTTACAATTCTTTTCTCTTGCCATCAAGTTATGCAGATTATTGAAAATCACTGAAAATCATAGCTCTCCCTCTTTCTTGCAAAAGATGTGATTAGTCAAAGAAGACAGGAAATCTTGTGAACCTGGATAACACACCTAACCAAGCAACACCCTCTTCAGGTAAAAATGCTAACTGGAGACTGGGATTGTTTTTAAAAGATATGCTCAAAATCAAACAGAAATTACTGAACTTGATGTAGGAATTACTGGATGAAAAAACTATGGACTATATTACATAGTAGATCAGATTAGGTTGGCAAAATGTTCTCTTCTGACCTAAAAACTTATGAACTTGTGTGTGCTGTCAGAATCATCAAAGGTTTTATAGTCTACAAACCATTTTTTGGACACTACTGCTTGATCTGATTTTCAACCAACTATGATCCATGTTTAAACCTTGCCTATTTAAACGCTTATGTGACTGTTTTTCTTGGCTGCTCAATCCATAACATACCACTTAATTTCTATGTCTCTAAACTGCAAAATGAAGATTTGACTGTAGTACATGCTAGAATACCTCTGCTAGTATATGTCACCATGGCAGTCAAGATGCAGTGGTAAGGAATTCAATTTTTGCTAAAAATTAGGGTCAGAGCCCATCACAGACCCTGGGTGCAAGCTACTGAGAGTACACGCTAAAACCTTGGCTACCACGTAGTCGTTGCTATTGTTACCCATATTAGCTAGGCTAAACTAGCATGTCAAATGCCTACTCTGTAATATGATCAACTACTTCCAAGTATGCTTTATTTGTGCTGACAAATGCCTATGATCCTATGATCTTTCAGAGGGCTGGGTGCAATAAAAGGAGTACAATTTCCTTTCAATACGATATTAGAACAAAAAAAAAAAAACCCAACCTCTTTTACAACTGGAAACCCACTATTTATTTATGGCTTGCACTCCTGGTATTGTCACAAACCCATATAAACAAGTGGCAATTTCAATAGATGTCACTGCCCCAAGCAGGATGGGAATTTTTCAAATGCTGGCTCCTCTGCTCCAGTGCTGCTCCTGTCTTTGACCATGAAGTTGCCTTAACCTTTCCTTTTAAGTGTCCTGACAAAGTGTTGTCATCTTTAAAACTAACAACCGGATTGTTTTAGTCCTTCCACTGTTAGTAAGTGCTTATCATCAGAAGTTATTTCACTGCTATCAGTGACACTCATTTTGTGGCTTTTTTAGCCTTTCAAAGTAGGTAATTGTTTCAACTTGAGGATTTTTCCATTCTCTTTCAAATAATGAACGTACTAGAAATCAATGAGCAAAACACAGCCCCAAAACAAGGGCTTGTTATTTAGGTCAGCCCATTTGGATGAGAAAGAAAAGACCCAGATACTGAATTTTTTTCCAAGGCAGTCTCATGTACTGCCTCCTCTCTGTTAGTAAAACAGCTCTAAGATCATTTAAAAGATTTTTTTGCTACAATGCCTCAAATCTGGATGTTTCTGCCTCTGAACTAGAAAAGGTAAATAATGTGACATTTTCTTGTGAAGAACAGTTTTAGGCTACAGGTCTGACCAAATGAGTCTTTTCATTGTCTCTAGTGGGGTTTGCATTTAGTGAACTTTCAAAAAGTTAAACTCGTGCACTTGCTAAATAAAATGTATTTGCTGCACATTTTACTGATTTATTAAGGCCACCATTTCATGCTGATGAAGCAGAGAAGGGAAAATGACAGCAGGACTATTCATCATTGCAGGAGCTCCTTTACTGTCCAGACAATGCTACCATAAGACTTACTTTTCTCACGTCCTGCTGAATGTTTACTGTCTGAAGCATAAGATTCATTAGGGGAGCTGTCATTGTTCTACTTACACTGGCTAATGGTGATGGCCCTAGTTTTAATCCAGAATTTTAAACTCAGGCAAACCCTAATTTGTTCCAAGTAAGAACAATGGAAAAGAAACTTCCACTTTGAAATGGAGGGCCTCTCTTGAATCCACTGCTGCTTTTCCATTGAATATACTGCTACCCACATACCATCAATATTTATTTTTGTAGTCACTAACTTTTAAGTATTACCAGATTTTCTCACGAATAACATGCTCCCAAAGATAATACATACCTTGTTTTTGAAAGGCAGAAGAAAAAAGATTTTTCCAGAGTGATAGATTAAGGACAGAGCCTAATCGTCAACTCTCTGAGGGTGCTCCCTTTCCTGCATAACTAAAGCTCAATCCCTGGCTGCTGATGAAGACTGACCTCCATGGATGGATCCATGGTTTTGAAAAAAGCTGAAGAGGCTTTGAAACTGAGAGCATGTAACAGACAGCAAAATAAGCACAATTTCCCTTAAAAAGTTTAGCTTGATTAGTGGAACATTATGACCATTAAAAAAATAAGAGACTATCCCTAACACCTGCAGAGTGAAGAACAAATGAGCCATTAAGACAATTGATTCCCTCAGCTGCCTAAACAGCAATACCATAGCTGTTGCACTGCAAAGGAGGAATTAAACCACGTTGCTTCCAACCCCAAGCAGAAAATCAACTTTCCTGCCTAATACTCATACTCCTTCTGGGGCGGGGGCTGATATTTGAGGGAAAGTTACATGTTATATATGAGAAAATACAGTTATTACCCATTCACACAGATGTTTTATTAGTAGATCACTGCTTGATACTCAGTCTGGGCCATCAGGAACAAAGCAAATATTTAGCAATTTCTCTTTGGTGGGCTCTATGAAACATCTTCTTAACCTCACACTTGCTCCCAAGAACATTCCCAATAAGTCTTCATCTCACAATGGGAACTAATTGTAGAGCAGGCCTAAACATTTTAATTGAAACCATTTTGTATATGTATGTCAAAAATTGCCATTTCATCAAAATATGCTGGGGTTGTTGAAAACACAAGTTTAAATCTCTGTGCCAAACATCCAGAGCAGAGGCTTGAACTTGGGTCTCCCTCATTTCTGGTGAATGCCTTGACCACCAGGCCATTGGTTGCGTATGATTTTTTTCATGAAAAGATTTAAAAGGTCTCATTTTTTGTTCTGTACTTGAGTGAAAACAAGTTTTAAAACTTCCAAATCTTTCATGAAATGGAGTTGGTTGTCACCTAACTCACTGGAAACTTGTCAGCTATCTCTGAAGATAGGACAAAGATAGAACTACTATCCTCTATTACTGGAGGAGGCATCTCCAGGTCAGGGTTGACATGGTTATGCATTGCCACTGCTTATGCGGTGGACGTCCTCTGGGTAAACAAGAGGATACCATTCTCTGAAGAAGTCAGTTTGAAATCTTTCAGTACCAATTCTGGATACACACAAATACACATTTTGCGTTGCTACTCTTATTCTCCTATTGTGTTAAATTACCATTCATTTTATTCTTTATTTTTATCAAGTTTTGAATTTCAGCCACTGATTAACACTAATAATGGATATTTTATAATACAGTAGGACGAGAAAAAAAATCTAAAAGGTTAAAAAAAAGACAAATAGAATCAATCTGAAAAAGAACTATCCTTATATTTTCCGCCTTGCCAAAGACTTTAAGAGATTCCAATTACTATTTACACTGTCATATATGAATAGCTATATGAATTTATTATAACCATCTTGTTTAAGGGAAAAATGTTAATACAACTCGGCTTAAGTACTTTTGAATGATACAGGGATGACAATATAATCCTGTCACGCACAGCACAGAGATTCATAAAATATAAGCTCAAGGTTCCTTAAATATTTAACTCTTTCCTGAAATAGTGCATATTTATTTACACGCACACACCGCAATTCTGATAAAAATTTATGGATACAATAAAGCTACGCATAAAGAAAATCCTAATTTACAAATCTATCATACAGAAACATCCTTCTTGCAACTGATTTGCATTCAGGCGGTGCTCAGGATTTATAAGGCAATTTACTCAGAAGACAGAAAAGTTTCACCATTATAACAAAAATGTTACCTGAGGGAGGGCACCATAATTCCATATATAACCCTTGTGAGGGAAGATATTTGCTACATATCGAAGCTTGCCTTTCTTTATATCTTGTTTAATGGGATTCAACGGCTCCTTGGTGGCAATCTAATCAGATCGTGAAACAGAAAGAGAGAAGAGAATTCTAAAATGGATGGCAATTAATCCTGGACCCAACTAGTTAAAAAGTTGCCTTCTGGGCAGCAGAAACTGTATACCTGTGGTTTGTAGAGGTTTAAAAAAAGCGCAATAGCCTCACTGTAAATCTCAAGGGTCGTGTTCAAAAACAGGCTTGTTATTAATGTTTTAAACACTGGCATGAAGTATTGAAGGAGACAAAAAAAACTGGATCCAGACAAGGAAAGTCATATTATAAGGAGTTTTGTCATAAATACTGAAAGAAATTTAAATTGGAAGCCTCTGCACTTAATGAGTCAAATTCCACAGTGAGATAAATGATGGCACAAGTTGATCAGAGAGCAGGAGCTCTGCCAGCAATTGGAAATTTCTGCATCATACCACTGCCTGTTAGTCGCTGTCCTGCTACGTATGCTTCCACATGCATGCGAAGCTTCTCATGCACTGCCACTTAACAGCAAACAGATGAGAAATTTGTAAGTAAATCAAGTAAAAAGAAGTAAAAAAATACTTTGCAGGGAGCTAGTCAGGTCTATTGTAGAATACCTTATCCCACGGCAGCTGTTCCGGTCAGCTTACCCATACAGACAAGCATTATGCTACTTTCCACATCTGTTTTCTGAGCAAATTATACTCAGTGCCTGTCTGAAACCACCTCTAACACCAACAGTGAAACTGGCCTAAGAAGTTCCATCCTCTCACAAAATATTTGAATGGGATATTGTGCCTGCAGTCAGTTTTGTATATTACTTAACTGCAAAACCTTCTTCACAAGTTGACATTATTATTTGTACAACTCTCATTTCAGTCAGGATTATACCGACTGTTAACCACACCCTGACAGTAGAAATCTGGAATAGCTTCATAGAGATAACTGATGCTGCTCCAGATGTGCAAAAATGAACTACTGGCAGAGTCTGGCTTCAAAAAAAAATTATTTTAGGAAAATCTGGGTGAGGTCCAAGGAGACTGAGCAGGCTCAAAGGGCAGAATGATATAAAACAGTAGGTTTGAACCTTTTTTCATTTGCAGACCCCTAAAAAAATTTCCATGGAGGTCCAGACCACTTTGAATGGTAAGTGTGAGTATTCACAGACTTTGGATTTATCACAATCATCTTTTGCGGACCCCTTAGACAGTCTGAAGACCCAACCACAGGTTGAAAACCAGTAATATAAAAGAAATGTGGTCTGAGAGGACAGAACAGGGAGGAAATTGCCTTAAGACAGATTTCAGTGACTTTGGTATAAAGAACTTCAGAACCACACAAGAAAAACTTCATACAGAGAGACCTCATCTAGAGCGTTTCTCAGCCCATGGGTTGTAACCCAAAAGCGCGTCACAAGAATATATGAAAGGGTCATGAATAATCACAGAAAAACAAGGAAAAATATGGGAAATCGTGGATTTTCTACTTTAAAGGAGAAAAACGCAAGAAAGCATGGGTTTCCCTTTGCAGACTGGCAGAGTTGCAATCTGCAAGGGGCTGCTTGGAGCTGGGGGAGAAGAGGAGGAGGGTGATCAGGCAGGGGGCACCATGTGCATGTGTGCATATACACATGCACGTGGCAGGCAGGATGGAGAGCAGCTCCCCACAGGTAAGTCTCTGGTGGTGGGGGTGAGGGAGGCATAGACAGTGCATCAGGGAGGCAGGGGGAACAGAAGACACACTGGGGGACAGGGAGCCAAAATCTGTGTGCCCATAGTGGGCACAGGGCTGAAGCCTAGCCGGACTGGCACGGGCAGGAGCTGCCTCCATGATCCAGTGGCCAGGTGCTGGCATGGGACAGAGGACCAAAATTCGTTGCTACCGCCACTGCTGCCGCTGTCATGAACCCTGCACCAGCTGCGCTGCCAGAAGCATGAGGTATAACGGATGGGAAGGGGTCACACTTCCCTCACCTGCTCCTGCCACCAGCCACCTGCACGCCAGGCCACAGCCACGTGCCATGGCCTGGCCACTGCCGCTCCCCTCACACCATGGCTCTACCCAGGAGGGGAGGTGTGGTGGCAAGCAGCACAGACAGCCTGAAGGGAGTGGTGGCAGCAGTGGCCAGGCCATGGCGCCAGGGTAGAACCATGACCCAGTGCGTGAGCAGCTGGCAATCAAAGAAGATGAGGGCAGTGTGACCTCCTCACCCCCCCGGTCTGTTACTCCTTGCACTGCGGGTGGTACAGCTGGTGTGGGGGACCCGGCAGCAGCGGCAGCAATGAGTCTCGCCAGCCTGTGTCAGGTCCCACCCACTGGGCCGCAGAGGTGGCTCCTGCCTATGCCAGGAGAGTCCCTTGCCTGCTGTAGGCATACAAATCTGGGGGGGTATGCCTGGGTGGGTACATGCCCCACCCCCACACATACCCCCTGCCCCACACACCCACCTGCAGCCCCACACATTGGGGGGCTGTGGCCTGGGGCCGTGGGGCAGCGTTGTATGTAAGGGGTATCAGGAGAGTTCAGGGTGTGGGGGGCTGTAGGTTGGAAATAAGGGGCACTGGCAGGGCCCCAGGGGGCTGCGAGTCGGGAGTGAGAGATCCCGGCAATTTGCATTGTGCAAACTGCACAACGAATGTCACCTGGGAGTAATGGAGAGCCGCATGTTGATATTGTTGTTAATATTTTCCTGTTGATGTTCATTTCTGTCTTTAAAATCAAGACTGTTGAGCTGCTTTAACTTGTAGGGTGTAACACATATTTTGGGGCCAAAATATCTGTATGTTTTCTTCTTACCATTTATGCTGTTAGAATTGTGGCAGGATGCAAGGCAACCCTTACCTCAGCAGTATCTCAAGAGCTTCTGCATGCCACAAAGTTACTGGGTCAACTAAAAGCAGCCACCGCTTGCATCCTTGCAAGAAGCAAGGTATAAAGAAACCACATAAGGTTGTCAAAAAAAGTACATCAGGTCACGCTCCCAATGAGACAGCAGAGTGCCTTAAAGGTGTCAAACGAGAAAATAAATGTAAAGGTAGCCCAGACAACCAGTTAAACCTTTGAAGAATGGAGATGAATTAGGGCTGTGAGGAAGAGGACACTTAGCCCTCACCTGATACCCTCATAATATGTAAGCAGATTACCCAAGAGGATTAAAACCAGGGCTATGATTCCCAGATGTATGAGCTGTGGTAGTGAAAACAGTTTACATGACCTTCAATGTTATTTCAGGATCAGGAAAAAAAAAAATTTAAAGCTCTGGATGGGGCATTGCCACAACCATTAACAGCCTGTCCCTGTTCTCAAGACATTATGGAAGGCAGTCCTGAAATTAATATATAACCTAGGGATCAAGTACATTATTGTGAGATCTAACAGTCATTTTACCTAGACTACAAATGAAGCATTCCCAAGCCTCTGTACTGTGACACAGCAGAGGACTGCTCCAGTTGGGCTCTGCATTTAAAACTTCAAAAGCTCGTTTTTCTTGAGAAGAAACAAAGTGCCACTAAACAGTCTGGGGCAGAAGGCAATGTTTGCCATTTGCAAATGCAAAAGAGTCAAAAACTGGACTGGCAAGCTGTCATTTCCTCACTAGATAAGCCCATAGGGAGGCATTAAATCCTAAATTAAATGAATTACTGAGAGTAGAATCGAGCCCAGGACATCATCCTGCAATCTAATGTTTTTAGGTTGTGTTTTCTCTCTCATTCATGTTGCTCAGCATCATACTCTACACCTTGAAATCCATCTGACTATTGAAAAGGTACTACCTCATTGATACAAAATTCCCCCTTTAACAGTTATATTTCTTGCAATTAAATATGTTACTAAGCATACCTTGAAGAATGTCGCAGCAGTAAAAATGTTGCATGAAAAGATATAACATTTTTAAGTTTTGGAAAAGATCAAATCATCAACAGTTTTGCAAATATCTATATACTCAAGGCAATTTATCTCCTTGACTGAATTACCTCCATTTTGGCATTTGTCCAACGAGGCACCTCTATAACCATATTAAACACTACCTAAAATAAAAGAAAAAAAAAGATTTTAAAATAAAAGTAGGTTGGCTAAAAACAGTGCATGAGGCAATACAAGTTATTCCTCCCATAACCTATACATGGATACAACAATATAGGTCAACTCTGACTGCATAACTTTCTCAATACAACATGTTCACAAACCTGAAACTTTTCACATAATTCTACTTTTTCAGTGGTAAAAGAGAGAGTAACAGCTAGGTAAGACTGAGACACCTGCATGATGCTTTTTAGTTTGGTCTCTGACACACTTCTGCACCAACAGCTGAATAAGCCTGTGGACCTCATTCTCACAAAATACCATTGAAGCCCATAGTTTTGCAGCATTCAAAAAAGACTGGATATGTAGGATATGTATAAAGAATACCCAATAACAAAAAAGGAAGATTTTTGGAAGAAATATGAGAGAATTTTTGCCTCATGCTCTCAGACAAAAATCTAACCACTGAAGGGAAGTTCATTTTTTTCCTTGGAGGCAAGTCATCCTATAACTGCCCTAATGCAAATGTTGTTTGCGCCAGCCTCTAAAGCACTTAGTACTGGCTACTTGGAACAAAATAAACCAAATGGCAATTCCTATGTATTATTTTCTACTGTGTAACTGAAATAAGTCAGAAAATATAAAACAAAAGGAAAAAATGAAAATATGTTGTATTATTGATTAAAATACTTTAATAACCCCAGCAAATTTCATGTTTATGTTGTGTCACATCATCATTGCTGCCCTCAAGACAAGATGAGCAACAACTCATTTTAAGACAATGCATAGGTTTCTACAAAAATAGGTTTCTACTAACTTCAGCACAATTGCATCAGGCACTGACTTTATCACTAAATCTCACCTTATGTTGAACCCCAGAAGATACCTCACTATAGTAGCTGAACTAAGAAAATACTGTTTAGCTTAGTGGACTGATCAAACCCAGCTCTTACAGTGCCATGCTCAGCTCTACTTCCAAAGTGGGGTGAGTACCAAGATAAGTGGAGAAAAGGAGAATCTGGGATGTCACTCTCGCTGATTTCTTCCTAAAGGTCTTAACTTATTCACATTCCTCTCCCAGAAAAAATTCCAAAAACTTTTTACTTTAATTTCTCTAACTGTCATGTCCACAATGTGACAGATCCTGTCTTAAGGAAGGAGGGTTAGTTTGGTAAGGATATATAAACCTTGGCTGGAAAAGTGAAAATGGCTACAGAAGACCAAATTAATATTCACTCAGATGTGGATGCTTAGGGTCAGATAAAGGATTTACAAAGTCTTCCTGAAATGAGCCAGGCAATGCCTTCATCACCACTGGAAATTGATTTTTGTTGTAAAGGAGATTGCAGATTTTTAGTGTTGCATCTGTACATTTTCCTGACTATATGTCTATGAGTGCAGCTTCTGCAAAATATAGATTTGGTTTTAAAATTAAATAGACGAAGCACTACAGAAGTCTTCAGTGACTCAATAAGGACTCTGAGGGCCAAATCCTCAGCTAGGGTAAATCAATGTAGTACCAAAGACTTCAATAAATGGCACTGATTTATCCCAGCTGGGGTTCTGGCCCTCAGAATTTGTAGCATGTGTCAAACATGAATTACCAAGAGCTTTAAATATGACAGCCTGACAGATTAATTCATATGGTGGGGAGGAAAGGCCTCTCTCTAATGCTTAGTGCTACAAGGATTGACAAATTTAATTCTTCACTCAGGGCTGATGTTTATAAGTAACAAAAAATTGTCAATCTTTGCACTGAAGAGCCAAGACACTTGTCCTATGGACAGAGGATTCAAAGTGGGGTGGAAATCAGAGGTGTGTATTGCAGGTGAAAGGGAGGAAAATGCTGCCCATTCCTGCTTTAAATTTTCTTTGCTAGGTTTTCTTTATCCTTTTCCTCTTTCTCTTTTTGACTGTTCTCCCTCTTGCCTGTTTAGATTTCACTCTGGGGGATTTTCCCAGGATTCCCATCTCCTTCTGCCAGAGATACCACTCCTGCTTCGTGACTTGAACATCTTTACATTATCTCAATGCACTGCCACAACTTGCTTCAGTGGAGTGAACAAAAGAGTGAGTGCCAACCTGCACTTCGGAGGTGCCACCTGTATACAGGTGTGATGCCTGTGGCTCACCACCTGCAGCAAGGCCCAGAACCCAACTAGTTTGGACTTGGGTGCATGCGAGTCTTGCGGGGACAGGGAAGAAGGCAGAGTGAGGATTCCCAAAAGCCAGCTGTATGGCAGGCCTAGATGGAAGTTGCCCCTACGATGCTCACACAGCCTACTGACAGTTTCCCCAGCTGTGCAAGCTGACAGCAATTTCAGAGGAGCCTTCTGCTAGAACTCTGTTTTGTCCTTGTTTTTTCCCATCAGTTTTGCAGAAATAGGCCACACATGCTGAGGGCACAGCTCTATTGGGCACATAATTCTCTAAAACAGTTGTGCCAAACCTCCTGAACCTCCTGGCCCCACAAGCTGGATGAGTGGCACAGGGTCAGTCTCTGGGCCAGATCCTGTTCAGAGTCAGTGCATGGGCCGAATCTGCTGCACAGGGCCACATCATCCAGCCTACAGGGCTTCCCCAAGGTCAAGAAACTTGGCAGCAGGACAGCAGGA